ATGAAGGCTTGCTTTATGGCCGAACATATGGTCTATCATAGAAAAAGTTCCATGTGCACTGGAGAAGAATGTATATTGTGCTGCTGTTGGGTAAAGTGCTCTATAGATGTCTGTAAGGCCAAGTTGGTGGATTGTATTGTTTAGCTCTTCTTGAATGCAAAAGAAACTCTTAAAATAAAATTTTAAGAAAATTGGATATCCACCAGCAGAAAAATGAAGTAAGACCAATACCTCACCCCACGCATGAAAATAAACTTAAGTTGAATCAAAGACTTAAATGTAAAACCCAAAACTATAAAGCTCATCAAAGATAAAACTGGGGTAAATCTAGGGGCCCTAATCTATGGCATAAATAGACTATCAATCATAACCCAGAATGCACAGGTGGTGGAAGAGAAGCTAGATGACTGGGACCTTTTAAAAATTAAATTCTTACGTGCATCGAAAAACTTCTGCAAAAGGGTAAAAAGAACCTACAGGTTGGGAGAAAATATTTGCCTTTGACATATCTGACAGAGGCCTTATCTCCAAAACGTAAAGACAACTTCAACATCTCAACACCAAAAAGACAAACAATCCAATTCAAAAACAGGCAGGGACATGAACAGACAGACACTTCACTAAAGATGATATGCTGGTGGCCAACAAACACATAAGGAATTGCTTACGGTCATTAGCCATTAGAGAGACGCAAATCAAAACAACGATGAGATTATCATCTCATCCCAGCAATAACAGCAAAGTTCAACAGGACAGAAAATAACAAATACTGGCGAGGATCTAGAGAGATTGGAACTCTCATATACTGCTTGTGGGACTGTAAAATGGTACAACCATTGTGGCAAATGGTATGGTATTTCCTTAAAAAACTGAAAATAGAAATACCATTTAAACCAGTGTGATGGTTATGCTTGTGTGTCAACTTGGCTGGGCCTGATTGAGTGTCTAGGCAGCTGGTGGTAGTTATTCCCCATGATGAGACTGGCAATCAAGTCCATGGTGGGATCTACCACAAGAAGCTGAGTAGCTGCCTTTGGGATGTGGTCTGCTTCCCGTATAGAAGCAGCAGCTTTGGGAATGGTCTCTAGCTTATGGCATGCTTGGACCCTGCATGTAGCCATGTCGTTGTTCAGCAGCCTGCCATGCTCTGCTGACCATGGGACTTACAATGGACTTAAATTAATGGCCTACTGTGTGTTTTGGTAACATCAGGACTGTGCCTTTTTACTTGTCAACCTTGGGTTTGTCAGCCTCAGCAGCCAGCAGCTATCTGAAAGAAGAAATGCCTCTAGCTCCAGTGGGCCGGGAGTAGGAGGCAGAGCTAGAGAGCTGGACCCCAAGGCTGAGAGGCTTTCACCCAGTCCCTAGAGCCTGGCACTTTGAACTTGGACTTAAAGCCTCCAAATTGTAAGAATAAACTCCTGTTTATTAAGGCCATCCCATTTGTGGTATATATTCTTGTCAGAGTGGCACTAGGTAACCAGAAATTCCATTACCATGAATATATCCTAAAGCGGTGAGAGGCAGAACATGAACAGACATATGCACACCCATGTTCACCACAGCATAATTCATTATACCAAAGAGATGGAAACAACCTAGATGCCCATCAACAGATGAATGGATAACAAAATTATGGTACATTCACACAATGGAATACTATGCTACATTAAAGAACAATGAAGAATACACGAGTCATCTCACAACATGGGTTAATCTGGCAGACATTATGCTGAGTGAAATTAAGTCAATCGCAGAAGAACAAATAAAAAAGTCAAGAAAGGGTTTGCTTAGGGAAGGGAATTCATTTTGTAGGTTACTGGGGATGGGAGGGAAAGGGACAGGAAAATTTCAGATTAGTTGGGGGCCACATGCTTAGTTGGGGGCCACATGCTGAGTTGGATAAGGGGAGAGGGATGGTATGGAAAAGAGTCTGAGACCAGCATTATAACATGATAATATTGGGGAAAGGGAGAACACCAAATTGTGCACATAAGATACAGACAACAAGAGGCTAATACCAATATATGCACAATACTGCATTATCACTAACATCAAACACTAGGCTACAGATAAATGCATAGACAACTGAGAAGACCAGATAAGGGATGGTGAAAAGGAATATACTCTAAACCAATGACAGATTCAGCTGAGGAATAATTTTGCACAAATACTAGTGATACAAAATATCCACAATCATTACAGAAGCAGCAGAGGACAGACTTGGAGTAATCCTTCAGAGACAACCAGACACCGTGGGAGAGAGAACCACCAGATCTTCCAACTTAGGACCATAGTACTGGGGGACACCAGACTCAATTAACACAACATAACACACAAAAATCTTGTTCTACAACCTATTCTGGTGAGTAGCGACTGGGGTCTTAAAAGCTTTTAAGTGGCCATTTAAGATGCAGCTAATGGTCTCCTCTCATCTGAAGCAAAGAAAAGTAAAGAAAATCAAGGGCATTTGGAAACAAACAGCCCTAGGATATGATGGACCTCGAGGACAGAAAAACTAGATGGTGCCTGGCTACCAAAACTGGAGATGCTGAATGGAGTGGGAGGACAAACATGGAACAAAATTAAAAAACACTATAACGACCAGAATTACTGTTCAGATGGGAGTCTGGTGAGACCCCCAAGTTTATATCCCTGGGATACACTTTGGTTGTGGGATAAAACTCACTCCAAAGGGCTGGTTCAAACCCACCAGCCACTCCTCGGAAGTAAGGTTGAGCAATCCTACTTCCGTAGTGATACTGCCTCGGAAACCCAAGAAGGGGTCGCTATGAGTCGGGTTTGACTCGACGGCACATAACAACAACAACAACAACATACAATTCTGACAAAATCTGCATATCCTAAAAATGGGAAACTCTTTTTGACTATAGCAGTCTAGGGTGTTGCTTATGTTGTTGTTTGCCGCCGAGTCGGAACCAACTCATAGCAACCCCTCCTTGGGTTTCCAAGGTAGTATCACTATGGAAGTAGATTGCCCAACCTTCCTTTCATGGAGTGGCTGGTGAGTTTGAACCACCAGCCTTCTGCTTAGCAGTCAAGTGCCTTAGGCACTATGCCACCAGAGCTCCCCGGATGTTACTTATAACCAACACTAAAAAAAGAAAAAAACTAAACCAAATACATTTAAAAAGGAAAAAAAAAAAAAAAACAACTTTTTACTGACACTTACTCTTTATTTCCTCTGGAAGAAGAGAAATATAAGTGACTAAAAATTTCTGTAATTTCAATCCCAATGGTGAACCAGTTCCTATCAGCTGGCCTGGGGACCTACAGACCAAGAGGAGAGAAAAAGTAAATAATTAAAATCTATTTAGAAATAAGCATACTGAAACTACTCTAAATGGACTATAGCCCAAAAGTCCTTCAATTAATAACCTACCGTACTAGGAAAGTACAGATTTCTTTTTTCAGGAAACTTCTTCCCACATTTATATGTATGTAAATCTTATTAAATAGCATCATCAATAAAAAGAAAAGATAGGATAATTTTAAATTGTATATTACTGTTTTCAATATATAATCCAATGACTTTAAAATCTTTGGGTGTAAAGAAAAGAAGTAACATTCAGACACGTTAGTAGTAAACTACTTTTGCATGAGCAGTTAATTATTACATCTTTGTTTCTTATGCTACATGCTTCTACCAAGAACATTATCCATTAATTTAACACATTAGGGTACTAGAAAACTAAAGACATTTCATAATAAATGTGCTTGTCAACTCTTTTAGAAAGCACCAAGCTTTTTTCAACGGCTTTACCGCTCTCCAGCTGTCTGATTGCATCAAAACACTATTCAATAGCAGTGAGTTATTTGAAAACTACAAATAACTGCAAAAATCAAGTATTGCTATGGTCTTCCAAGTTATTAAACAGGGCTGAATATCAATATAATTTGCCACAGATTAAACATTTTTAAGGAAATTTAGCAAGGTTTGGGGGGTAATTCCTTTTTTCTTTTCTGTTTAGAAGCAGACCAAATAGAGAAGACATGTAAGTATAAATTTAGTTAATCAATATTAGAAAGATAGTATAATTTCAAAAGCAGGGAAAAATTTTGAAGACATAACGTAAAAGCATAGCTAATGCTCAAGAAAACAAGGCAAAGCCACAATATTAACAACCTCTTCTCACTGCCAACTTTTTCAAAAGGTAGAAGTGACAAGTAAGGAAATACATTATGGACAAAGGCACCCAGGATAAACTATGGAAAAGGGAATGGTAATTTCCTGTGCTAGTGTACTGGAATTGAGTATATCGGTGTGGTTCATGATTCTTAACATAACTAGATATCTAGACATAGAAGTAGATACAGTCATTTATGGATGTATGTGCTCAGCAGACAAAACTAATAACACACACAAAGAGAGGGAGACAATGATTAAGCAAATGGTAAAATACTAACATTTGAAGAACATGGATGCAAGGAAATGGGAATACTTTGTATTATTTTCACAAATTTTCCATTACTCTAAAATAAAAGAAAGTCAAAGGAAAAAGGGAAAAGAAAATTTAATTTAAGTGTTGGGTTCACCAATGTCAGTATAATTTTCAAGAGATAAGAATATGAGCTACATAAGATCTATTTTCTAAGAGTAGAATACAGGGGGCCGAGGGGAAGAAAGGGAACAAGAAAAAAAGGAGAGGAGGAACATTTGATACAAATAACAGAAGGCAAGAAGAATAACAAATATAGAAAAAACTTCATGATAAGAAAAAGCTGAATGTCTACTGGCAACATATATTATGTACCAAATGCACTAAACAATCTGGTCATGTTTCATAAACATGACAAATTTTTTTTTAATTAATTAATTTTATTTTATTGTGATTTGGGTGAAGATTTACAGAACAAATTCACTTTCCATACAGCAGTTCACATATACTTTGTCTCATGTCATTGACCACAGTTTACCACAATGCTCCCCTCCCACTTCCTCCCCATACTTACCTCTTCCCAGTGACCATCCCTCCATAATCTCCTGCGCCCTGAGTTGTCTCCCTGTGCATAAGCAACCCTTCCTTCAACATGACAAATTTTTATGTATCAAATACATATTACTGCATTACTACTAAATAACAGATTTACCTGCTATACAGAGAACTCTCTGAAAGTGCGTCCATTAACGGTCCAACAATAAACTGAAAAAAAAAAAAAAAAACACAATTGTTATTAATTCTTAAATGTAATTTTGAAAAGTCAGTTTGCCCTAATCATATAGCCTAAACAGGGTTGTGGAATAAATGCTTTAAACACAGTTGATCTCTTACATCATAAGTTAATTCACTGATGGTCTTTGAGGCTACAAGAAATGACAAAATGAGTATGGAATTTTCCCACCTGATAAAAGCATACAGGATACTCAGAAGACTTCATGTGTTGGGTCAAGCAGGAAGAAAGAACCTGAAGCAGGAACACGTGCCAGGAAATAAAAAAAGTAATGAAGAAAAACCAAAAAAAATACTCAAGGGGAAATTAAGCCCAGAAGATTAAGGGGGGGGAAAATTCTATCTCCAAAACTATTACTAGTCACTGGTCAAAGAGCAAAGCAAGTACAGGAAGAATAGGAGAATGTAGAAAAAGGATACATACCAAAATACTGTAGCAAGTATACAGATAATTAGAAAAATTCATTTAAGTTACCTCTAAATAAGAGGCAAATTACCACCCTAAGTAAATGATTATGCAATTCAAGTAACAATATAAAATTTATAAAGACAGATATAATTCTCACAATCTCTTTAATTTTTGTGAGTCCTAACAAATGGAAGTATACCTAAAAAAAAAAAAATAACCCATTGCCATTGTGTTGACTTCCACTCACAGGGTTTCCAAGGCTGTAACTCTCTATGGCAGCAGACTGCTGTATCTCTATCCCCCTGAAGAGCAACTGGCTTGTGGGTTTAAACCATCAACCTTTTGGTTAACAGCTGAGTGCTTTATCCACCATGTCACCAGGGCCCCTGTTAAACGTAACAGGTAACAGTAATTCATTGCCTCAGAACTGGAGGAGGAGCATCTCTAAATAGCAGTAATTCAGTGATTCAGAACTTATGATAACAACATCACTAAAAATCTTCCATACCACAGATGTCATACTTACATTGTTTAGAATATGGGTTAACACAGAACTCCTTATTCATGATGATAATGATGCAGGCAGATTTAGCATTCCTCAAAAAACTACATTATAGAAAGCTTTTTCTAAATATGATAGCTAAGTTTAGAGAAATAGGATTTACTGCATACAAACCCATAAAATGTTACTTGCAATTTTAGAGTCCTTTCTGGTGGCACAGTGTTTAAAGTACTTGGCTGCTAACTGAAAAGTCAGCAATTCAAACCCACCAGCCCCTCTGTGGGAAAAGATGTGGCAATCCGCTTCCATAAAGATCACGGCTTTGAAAACCTTGTGGGGCAGTTCTACGTTCTGTCCTACAGGTTCGCTATGAGGCAGAACTGACTCAATGACAGTGAGTTTTATACACATACAGTCCCTATCCAGTGCAAATGATTTGCATTCAACTACTAATCTCAGAGTTGGCAATACAAATTCACCCAGCAGTGTCACAGACGAAAAGAGTGACAATCTGCTTCCATAAACATTTTAGCCAAGAAAACCCTATGTGGTGGTTCTACACTAATACATAGGGTTGCAATGTGTCAGAATCAACTCCATAGCCACAGGTGTGTTTTTCTATTTTAGCATATATTTTCAAAGATGACACATGATACAACCAATGCCTTTACCTATCTTTTGACAATGGGGGCAAGGAAAGGACAAGTTATCATTACCTCAGAAAATTCTGATGAAAATGGAAGTATCTTTGTTTCATAGAGTTCTAAAAAATGGTTAATGCCTTCTTTGGTCAGGATTTTATTTTCACTTTCCAACATTCTTTTATAAATACACATATGCCAGGACGGGTGAAAAAGCCAAAATCCTGTGGGAATAAGCATCTAATGTTAATAACCTGAATTAACCTAGGTAAATTGATTTTACTGCCTCCTCTAGATTACAACTTTAATAGTTTGAGCCCTTCAGAATTGAGCTTTATTCAGCTGATTGTTGTAATTGTTTTCTGATACACTGGGATCTTCACAGACCATAAGAATCTATACTTCCACCCAGGGCTAGAATGAATTGAATCTTGTTGTAACTATTAAAATGATGCTTTTATTGTCACTTTTTGCCCATAGGTCTTGGCAAACCAAATCAAATAGCAATGACTGATTTTGAAAAATTATCATTGCCAAAGAATTGTACTAGCATCTTGGTGTAAACTGTAATTAATGGACCAACTTATTTATAGAATGTCATGAGTAAAAAACTGAACTTTTTTTTCTAGTAAAAAAGAGTCAGAAAAATATCTCTAAGGTACACATTTATCCCATTTTTAATTTGTTTATTTATCCATTTACTTAATAGATATTTACTTACTACCCAATATATGCTACAGGAGCTCTGATGGTGTAGTGCCTAAGGCATTTAACTGCTAACTAGAAGGCTGGCGGTTCAAACCCACCAGCCACTCCTCGGAAGGGTGGTTGGACAATCTACTTCTGCAGTGATACTGCCTCGGAAACCCAAGGAAGGGTTGCTGTGAGTCAGGTCTGACTTGACAGCAGTGGATTTTTTTTTTTTTTTAATGTGCTAAGCACTGTGTTAAAGTCAGGAGAAAGAGATGATATTTTTCAATTAATTTTTATCTGATTTCCATAAAGAAAGTAAAATTTTTTGATTATGACAAACCTTGGGTTTGTCAGTCTCAGCAGCCAGCAGCTTTCTGAGAGAAGAAACCCCTCCAGCTTCAGTGGGCCAGAAGCAAGGGGCAGAGCTGAAGCCCAAGGTCATGGCACTTTGAGCTCAGACTTCTAGCCTCCCAAACTGTAAGAGAATAAACTCCTGTTTGTTCAAACCCACCCATTTGTGTTATATTCCTACCAGAGCCTCACTAGGTAATCAAAACAAAGGGCAATGAATGCATTGCTTAGCAATCAAAATCCTTGACTACCATGGTCAGGAACATCGTTGCCTCACTCAAAGATGGCAAGCAGCCACATTACTGTGAATGTGTGTTGTTGCTCTTCACAGTCTTGGCAATAATCCAATCTTCCACACCAGGCTCCTAAAAGGGCTCACTGCGCCTCTTTCAAGTCTCCCACTCCAGGGCTTCAATCCATAATTTTTCCCTTTCCAGATATCATTCTGCTTCACCGAAATTTTAAAAATTCGATTCTGTTCTGATTTTGCTTCATCTGCTGTGACAACCAGTTCGAAGCCCTAGGTTAATCCTCATGTGTAAACACTATAATGTAACATTTTATCATTCATATGAATACAAAATACTGTTAGCCTATGTTTAGCTGTTTTTGATTGAACTTCATAAAATAATTTTAGGAAGCTCCAGCTTCATTTTATTTCCTATAGAAAGTGTCCATAATATAGTTGTATCTAAGGGCTTAAAAACTATACTTGAGAATTTTGTTACTAAGAAGTGTAAAATAGAATGAGAAATGAAACTCAAAAAAAGTAACTCCAACAATACTGAGTAACAGACACAGTAAGGAAATAAAAATGGCAAGCAGTTAAAATACATAATCATACCAAAGAACTATTATTAAAAACACAGAATCTTTAAAATATTACCAAAGAGTCCTTGTTTTTTAAAGATGCATACTGACATATTTACAGATGAGACAATACAATGGGATGTGATTCAAAATATTGTGGTGGGAGGTAAGTAGGCAAAATTATGAAACAACATGCAGCACTACCCATGAGTTGATTGTTGTTAAAGCTGGATCATGGGGTACTCATCATATATACTATTCTACTTCTGTAAATGTTTGAAATTTACCATAATGAAATGTTTTAAAAATTAACCATACCTCAAAATTACAGAAAACCTTATAACCATATAAAATGATATTTTGAAACACTATTTAAGGATATAGGAAAATGCTTAGTTAGATAAATACTGTGAACAATATGATCCCAAAGGATGTATGGGTTGAGTTGTGTTCCCCCAAAAAATATGAGTTGAAGCCCTAACTGCACCTGTAAATACAACCCTGTTTGGAAACTGGGAATTTCATTTCTTTTGTTCATCAGGTCACACCAGAGGAGGGTGTTTCCTAAAGCTAAACACTTCTCAGTTGAGTCTTTTAAGAAGACCAGAATAGACACACACACACACACACACGGAAAGGCAGACACTATGTGAGGACCCATCCACAGGCAAAGAACACCAAGTATTGAAAGACACCAGAAACTAGAAGAGAACTTCACAGAAGGAAACGACACAGCCAAGACTCTGACCAGGACTATTTTTCGTTATGGCAGCAGTAGGTAACTAAGACAGTGTATATCTGAAATGCTAACAGAGGTTGGTAGCAGTACTACAAGATGATTCACATTTTTTTCTTTATGCTTTGTATTTTTCCAAATTCTTTATAATGAGCAAGCATTACTTGTTAAAATCAGAAAAGAAAAACTATAAATGTTATAAAAAATTAGAATAACCATTACCTTTTTCCTCCGACACTGCATATTCAAACAGACTATTTAGCTTTGGTAAAACTGGTTTTATAACATGTATCTGAAAATAAAAGTTAAGAAATTGTATGAAATAAAAACCCATTTTTAAAAATGTACAAGAATATTCTTCTACAACCCTTCTTCTGTGCTTTTATCTCTGTACAAAAACATGTACAAAGAGACTGATTTTTCCAACTTTTAAATGGTAAAAATCCAACTTTAAATGGTATAAATATAAAATCAAATGTGCCAAAACCAATAAACATAACCCAGATATAGTTAGAATGATATTTACATTTCTATCATAAATATCAAAAAGTCAGTCATGTAATTCTCAATAGTACTGGGAAACAGGTAGAGACGATAATCTAAAGTATTTCAAAGCAGAAAAAAATAGTAAAATATCTTCTCCAGTCACTCAACTTGGGCCAGTTCAGAGTACAACGTTCCTCACACTACTCAGACTATGTGGACTTTATATCTCTGTCAAAATACAAGTAATAAGACTTTTTAAATCTCTACATATTTTATTCTGCATACTAGTGTGAAGTCCCAGATCATACTGATTCATCATCAAATGAAAGTACTAACTGGATATATTTTTCATTTCACCCTTCCTACCATCTATAAAATAATTAGGCTCAAACACACCAAAATATTTTTTGCTATGAGGATGCCTTTTACACGGCAAGAACTTCTGATGATCCATGCACAAAATAACAATGGGAGTTTTACAGATCAACTAATTAAGAAAATCATAAAAATTGACTTGAATTTGGAATTTTTCTTTATTCCTCAGCTTTGCATCTGTGTTAAAACCAAAAAAAAAAAAAAAAAAACCTCACTCCTGACTCATAGCAACCCCTTCCTGGGTTTCTGAGGCAGTATCACTATGGAAGTAGATTGCCCAGTCTTTGCCAGCCTTCTGGTTAGCAGTCAAATGCCTTAGGCACTACGTTACCAGAGCACCTGTGATAGTCAAGGTTATATGTCAACTTGGCTGGGCCTGGTTTTGAGTGGCTAGGCAGATAGATGTAGTTATTCCCCATGATGAGATTGATAATCAACTCCATGGTGGAATCTATTGGAGCAGCTGAGTAGCTCCCTTAGGGATGTGGTCTGCTTCCAGTATATAAGGAGAAGTTTTGAAAAGGGTCTCTGCAGCTTTTAGCACGCTTGAATCCTGCATAGCCAAGTCATCGTTCAGCAGCCTGCCATGCTGTCTGCCAGTCTTGGGACTGTCAATGGAACTGAATCAGTGGCTTGTCATGTGGTTTGATAATTTTGGGACTGTGCCATTTTACTTGTTGATCTTGGGTATGCCAGCCTCCACAGTTAGAAGTTGGCTGAGTGAAGAGACGCCTCCAGTTTCAGTGGGACAGGAGCAAGAGGCAAAGCTAAAGCCCAAGTCAAGGGTCTCACACCCATCCCCTAGAGCCGGCACTTTGAACTTGCACTTCTAGCCTCCAAAACTATAAGAGAATAAACTCCTATGTGTTAAAGTCCCCATTTGTGTTATTTTCTGTTAAAGCAGCACCAGGCAACCAAAATAGCATCTTTATAAGTTGAGCACATACAAGTGATTTTTCACCTCAGTCCACAACCAATGCTAGAAGCACATTTGGACTAACACCTTACAATAACTCCACAGATGGCTATCCTCTCAATAATCTGCAGCCTATACACCAAGAACCCCAGCACACTAGGGGTTCTCAAAGTATGGCCTAGAGATCAGCAGTGTAAGCATCGCCTTGAACCTTGCTAAAAATTCAAATTCTCAGGCCTCATTCTGGATCTGTTGACTCAGAAACTCTGTGGGTAGGGTCCAGTAATTCACATTTTAACAAGTGATCCAGGCAATTCTGATGAATCTTAATTTGACAGCATTACAGTATTAGATAACATAAAGTTTAAAAATTCCATGATTCTACAAGAATTAACTCAAAGTCGATTACAAATGATTTTTGATTACCCAATCTATTAAAAAATCCATCCTATTACTTGGGATTATAAATTCAGATATAATCAGAAAATAACGTGCACAGAAACAGGAACTAAAAGAGAAAGAAAACCTACAGAATTAAAGAGCAATTATTTACTTTAATTCACCTTTAGAATTCTTCAGAATTGCTTTAAGTCAAAATTTTCCTAAAGTGTGTATTTTTTAGAACATCTTCCATAAAGAAAAGTAGAGAAACTAAAAACTGACACTTTAGGATTAAATGTCAAGGGAAGATAAAGTAAGACTAAGTTTTTAAAATAATAATCTAAACCAACTGAAAGTATTATTTAATTTCCTAAAACAATTTTTTAGGAATAGCATACTGGCTAAAGCACTTGACTGCTAACCAGAAGGCTGGCGGTTCAAACCCACCAACCATTCCTCAGAAGGAAGGTTGGGCAATCCTACTTCCGTAGTGATACTGCCTCGGAAACCCAAGGAGGGGTCACTATGAGTTGGGTCCGACTCCACCGCACATAACGACAACAACAACAACAAAAACAATTTACATTCAATTTTAAATGGTATTTATGCTAGAAAACAAAGTATGCTGGAATTCTATCATGCTATATCCAAGTTGGTCTTTTGCACTGCTTATTCAGAATGTTAAAAAAAAAAAAATTAAAACTGCATGTATAGAGGTTTTGCTAAAAACATAAAAACACTTACCTGATTTCCTTCTAGAGTTTCCATAATTAAAATATAGTTTTCCCAAAACTTTAGAAGCTCATCTTTTTTCTTCTCATACCACCAAAACAGACTTGGATCTGATACGGTTTAAAAAAAAAAAAAAAAATTAGTTGCTCCATTTATGTTTTGTAAGTTACTTAATGAAAGTCCTTAAAATAATGGCACTATTACCAAACGTTATATTCTCAAATAATGGAGGGTATACCCTGTATCAAAGCCTAGGTGATAGAAGACTTGCTTTAGCTAACAAAGATTTCAGAAGTAAAGAAAGAAAAAATTTAATTAAAATTACTATTTTGGACTTCCAGATGAGAATGGAGGAGCTCTGGTAGCATAGTGCCTAAGGCACTTACTTGACTGCTAACCAGAAGGCTGGTGGTTCAAACCCCACAGCCACTCCCCAGAAGGAAGGTTGGACAATCCTACTTCTGTAGTGATACCGCCTCAGAAACCCAAGGACGGGTCGCTATGAGTCGGGGCCGACTGGACAGCACATAACAACAGATGAGAATGGCAGAGTCGGTCATATGAACTCTACTTCCTCTCCTTCAGAATCTCATTATAACAGTAAGGGATTTTTTTAAGGCAAAAATCCAATGAATGGAGAAAACAGGAGAACAGACAACAGCAAATGAATTTGAACCTGAAAAGCAGAAAATAAACAAGCAGACTCAAGAAAACTGAGTATGCTGCCTAAGGCATTTGACTGGTAACCAGAAGGCTGGTGTTTCAAACCCACCAGCCACTCCTTGGAAGGCGGATTAGGCAATCTACTTCCTTAGAGATACCACCTCAGAATCCCAAGGAGGGGTGGCTATGAGTTGGAAATAACGGCAGTGAGTTTGGTTTGTTGCTGTTTTTTTTTTAATAAGGTGAACAATAACACCAAGGGGTACACACTCCTTAGAACAATCAACCATATGAAATCAAAAGGGCAGCATTTGCTCAGGGATAAAGTTCAGAAGGCAAGACAGGATAGGAAAAAAGGTCAAATGAAAAAAACAAAATGTTATGAATTCTTAAAAGAAAAACCAATTTGCTTTGTAAACTTTCATTCAAATCACAATAAAAAGTTTACTAAATAAATAAACAAATAAATAACCCAGCTCAACCATGAACTAGATTGACTCAACAACCACCTCCCCCCACCAACCTAACATCCTAACTGACAGAAGAAACAGAAAAGCCAAACTCATGCCCTCGAATCGAATCCAACTCATAGTGAAGAAAAAAAAGCCCCCCCAAGCGCCCCTTAGTGTTCACCTCAGCTACCCTCCCCTATCAGTTTCCCCTTCCCCGCTCAGGAGTTCCCCTTTTGCACCTAGCACCCAGCTAGAGCTGCACCCAGCTCAAAACCCCTTCCTGTCTAGACTGCCACCACAACCCTGCCTAGTTTTGCACATGAACCTACAGACCCTGTAAAAACCCCAAAGACCCTATCATCACGGCCAGCTGTTTTAGTGCACTAGCACCAGCTGGTCCGCTAACGTGAATAAATCTGCCTGCTTCTCTCTTCCTGAGTGCTGCTTGGTTTCCTTTCTATTTCAACAGCAACCCCTCCTTGGGTTTCCAAGGCGGTTGTTGTTGTTGTTGTTATGTGCCATCGAGTCGAGGCAGTATCACTACGGAAGTAGGATTGCCCAACCTTCCTTCCGAGGAGTGGCTGGTGGGTTTGAACCGCCAGCCGTCTGGTTAGCAGGCAAGTGTCTTAGCCACTATGCTACCAGAGCTCCACCATGGAAGTAGATTGCCCAACCCTCCTTCCGAGGAGTGGCTGGAGGGTTTGAACCACCAGCCTTCTGGTTAGCAGTCAAATATTTCTAGGGATATTTACTTCAGTCACTGTTTTTCAACACTAAGTATCTAAAATTTATGAGACAGAAAAATAAATAAATAAATAAACAAAACAAAACAAAAAATGACCTGCTGTCAACAGACAAAAAAGAAACCACCACCAGACCAAGAAATGATCCAAGTGTAGTAGGACCTAAAAATAACTATTATTAATGTTTAAGAATCTAGTAGAAAAAGCAGACAACGTGCATGAAAAGATGAAGATTTTCAGGGATGGAAATTTTAACATGTCAAAGAGAAATACTAGAAATAAAAACATATCAGAGATAATGGCTCCATTGATAAAATTATCAGACACTCACAGTTCTAAAATATTTTATCTCAGGAAACTATTACAGAATACACTCCAACAAAACAAGTGAATAAACAGAGGAAGATGTGAACTACAGAATACAAGGAAGCCAACACAGAACTCAGTTAAAAGGAATAACTAGGATTATGGTGAAGACAGATAAGTTTAGGTCAGCTGTACACCAAGCATAGAGAGCAACAATTAATATTTGAGCATGTAAGAGAACTCTAGGAGAGATTTCCTCAAGAACATAAAACACAAAATAGCTAATGACTTCACAGCAAAAAGACTGAGACAATTGGCAAAAAACTAGGGGCTGAATTTGTGATAAATTTAGATAAAACCAAACGAATTTTTAAAGGGAATGATCCTAGAAAGAAAAATAGTTTACTGCACAGACCACCTTAGAACAGGATTTACATAATCATCATTTCCTAAACGCTGAGTATCTATTGAACCAAAATTATAACCATGACAATGCATGTTACAATATAACTAGGACACATTTCAAGACAGAAATAAACATCAAACTAATCAGCTAAAAGTGGTTGTTTTCTGAAATGGAAGTAATAAGTGTGTGGGGGTGGGAGGGAGCATGAAAGGACTACTACTTATACTTCAAACTGCAGAATGATTGTTTAAAATAAGTGCATGTTTAACTTTGATAATTTTTTTAAAAGAATTTTCCAGTGAAAATCCTCATCTGTTGACTACCTATTGGTGGACTGTTAAAATATTTACTAATTTTTAAATGTATATGAAAACCTGATAATCTACTAGCCAAACAGAAACCTTTTACCTATAGTAAAAGAATAGCTAGCAGTGGAAAGAATAGATTCTATCTATGGAGACAATTTCGATAACTCAAAAATGAATTTAAGATGACTTAAGTGTCCTTTCACACATTTCAGTGGTCAAACCAATCAATAGTAACGTAGGAAGGGAAAGTTTGCTATTTCATCTACTTTTTCTATGATAAAGTAGAGAATACAGCTCAAAATGTAAAATTTAAAAATATATATTTAAAATATGTATTAAATCAACAGCAAAAATATCTTCAAAAGGTGGACTTAAGTCCCCTATGTTTAACAAATTGTTAACTTGTAACAAATACAAGTATATTCTGCTTCTAAGAGAATTAACAAAAGAAATTTCAAAAGAATGTGATGGCTTTACTAACACTTATTTGTAAATAACACTCACTGGTCAGAATACTTAATAACTTTCAATTGTACAGATGTTAACTTTTCTTTTCTACATGAATAGATCTGGACACAGAGCAAACTTCGGTTTGTTAAATTCCCCATGGGCTTGGTCATTTGCCTAAATTATTCCATAGGTACCTTGGTCTATGTCATAAAGTTCAGGAAATGCAGGCTGTTCGAAACTGTAGTGATTTGTGTAACTTCAAAAAACACTGCGACGAGGGTCCCAAGGTGTTCAGACTTTATGTGGGCCGTGTGAAATAAGCAAATTCTGCAAAAGTCGCAGAGATAAGCCCTACATACTAGATTTCCGAAGCTGGGAGACTCCCCCCTCCCCACGGGAAGTTAACTAGGTCCGGGCTACAGGGCAAGTATGCAAGTACCGTTTGCTTCCCAGGCGCCGCAAGCAAAGTCGGCTCCCTGCTCAGCAGACACCTCCACTGCCGTCTGCAGCACATAGCGCGCCCTCTTGCGCGTAAGCGCGTCCTCGGCCTCAGCCAGTCCCGCCTGCACGATTCTCCAGAAATGCCTGCACTGCCGGGCGTCCAGGCCCGCCTCTGGCCCGTGAAGGGCTAAGCCCGCACACGGCTCAGACAGCAGCTTCTCCGCCAGGGCACTCAGTACCAGCAGCTGGCGCCCGACGCTGGGTAGCCGGGCGCCCGGGCCCGAGGCCCCAGACGGAGCGGCCGCATCGCGCAGCCCCTCCCACACGGTCCGCAACACCCCCTCACCGCACCGGCCCAGCGCCGGCAGCAGCCTTCCAGCCGCCAAAACTGCCGCCTCTTCTGCGGGCCCCGCCTCGGCCTCGCCCAGAGCCAGGGACAAGGCAGCCTGCGATACTCGCTCCAGCAACGCCCCATCCTCGTGCGGCCGCAGACAGGGGCTGATGGCCACCAGAACCTCTACAGCTGCCTCGGTGTCGGGCCCGCCAAGTCTGTAAGAGGCTTCCCGAGAGATACCCTCGCTGCCGGAATCCCGCCGCACAGCGAGCAGGTCGCGTAGGGCGTCCTCAGCCAACGCGGCCGCCCACTGCTGGACCCCGGCGAGGCGGACGCAAGAGCGCAGGCCCCCAGCGGCCGCCCGCAGGACGCGGCCGCGAAGGCGCAGCGGCTCCGGGCCGGGGCTCCGCAACAGTGGCACCAGGTACCCGATCGCCGCCTCACGCGCCGCCTCCTGTAGCAGCGCCGCGGAGCACGCGCCCGCGTTCCCGCCGCCGCCACGCGCCTCCTCATCCTCAAGCCGCTGGAGAAAAAACCGCAGCGTCTCCACGCGTTCCACGGATGGCTCTCCTTGGCATAGCGCCCCAAGCAGGACACGGGGGTCCCTGCTCTGGGCGAGCAGCGCTTCCGCGAGCACCCACTCCATTTGCCGCGCGCGGCGCCGCCAACGCCACACTACTGAAGGAAGGGGCTGCGCGCGTGCGCGGTGCGTGCGCGTGCGCTGACAGGGCGCGGGGACACGCGCGCCCTGCCTTAGGAACTGGAGTTTGCTGCCTGTCCTCCAGCCCTCCAGTGTCTATTTGGAATCTTATACCTCAAGCCCCAGTGGTGGGTGGGTGGGAGGGTGGATGTGTGTTGCCCACTGCCATCCAGCGGATTCTGACTCATAGCAAACCCCATTGGGTTTCCGAGGCAGTAAATCTTTATGGAAGTAGATTGCCCAGTCTTCCTTCTACAGAGTGGCTAGTGGGTTTGAACTGCCAGCCTAGCAGTCAACTGCCTTAGGCACTGTACCACTGTTAAACATTTAAATTTTAGAAAGTAATGCAAGTAAAAGGGCACTTGAAGATAACGTATAATCTATATCAACTGCCTCAACTCATTGGAAACAGGCAAGGAGGTTGCCTATGGGAAAGCAGTCAGGTTTGGCTGTGTGCCTAAGGCCCAAGGTTCACATAGAAGACCCATGTCAAAATCACCTGGAAGCTTACGCTCAAAATTGTGCATGGTGAATACCATCCAGGAAGAAACTGACACAGTGGATTTGAAGTGGGTCTGGACATTTTCGTTCAAAATAAACACACGGGTTGATTTAGAGGTATGGCCAGGGTTGAAAAGTATGCTGTACCTATACAACTGCAAAGAAGTGTCCGTACAGCCCACATGGAACTCTGTCTATTGCCAGAGCTGAGCCTAGGATGCATTGCACAATGTATTTCACACATCCAAACTCTAAAATATTTGATGTGTTTGTATTTTCTATGATGGTACCTAATGTTAAATACAAACATGGAAGATCACCTCATCTCAGCATATATGATACTTATTTGGTGCCTGGCTCAGTACTAGACAAACTCAGTGGCAGGGGTTGTCTCTGCCTTCTAATCATAAAGATCTGTCCCTTAGTCAAGGAGAAAACACAATCCCACCCTCAAGAGTCTGAAATCTAACCTCAGTAAACACAATGCATTAAGATGTAATTTAAAGTTATCAGACCTCACATATGCAAGATTTTTTCAAATTTCAGAGTTACTCAGTTTTCTATTGACAGAATGCATAAATAATTTCATTTTAAGGCCGTTTAGAATGTGTCAGGAAATATCAATTCCATTCAACATAATGTAAAAATATATATATACATTATGTATAATATGTATAACGTATAATATGCATTATACTATATATTATGAGGAGCTCTGGTAGCATAGTGGCTAAGACACTTGCCTGCTAACCAGACGGCTGGCGGTTCAAATCC